GTTCCCTGCACTGTGCACGCCCACGAGGTGCCCCCTTCTCCCGTACTAACGGGTCTCCATGCCGTTCCCTGCACTGTGCACGCCCACAAGGTGCCCCCTTCTCCCGTACTAACGGGTCTCTGTGCCGTTCCCTGTTCTGTGCACGCCCACGAGGTGCCCCCTCTCCAGTACTAATGGGTCTCTGTGCTGTTCCCTGTGCTGGACACACCCACGAGGTGCCCCCTCTCCAGTACTAACGGGTCCTGGTGCTGAAGGGACAGGATGGATCCTTTCTCGAGGGCCCAGTTGGGAGGCCCTTCTGCTTTGTTCCTGCCCAGAGACCAGCCTCGGTGCTCTTGTCAGTGACTCCCTCATGCCTGCGAGGTCCCTCCACAGCCAATGGCTGTGGAATGGGGCTGTGGCCAGGGCAGAGGACAAACTTCCCCACAGCCACTGTGGGCTGCTCACTCTGCTGTCAGGGAAGCCAGGTTAGAATTTTCCTTTAAACTTCATCAAAGTAATCTGCCCCACCTGGAAATTTTTCTACCTGAAGGCCTTAAAACTTAACCGGAAAAACAGTTCTGAGACAAGGTTGGGCGTGGATGAGTGAAGACCCCAGGCATGCTTTTATGATCACTAAAATGAAACAAGAAAGCCCACACTCGATAAAGATGGCGGCGGTGCCCTCTCACGGATCTCAAACTAGAAACCAGCGCCAACTCACACTGCTGAGTTTCCGCTCGATGAAGACTGGATGGAAGCTCTCTGGCCTCCCTTTGCTAGGTTTCCCTTCAATCTGCTTAGGATGTGGTGAGGAGCGTGTGTCCTAAGGAGCGTGTCATGTATGTGTGTCTGGTCCTCCATCCAAATGTTTGATGATGTGAATTTTGTTTGGAAGTGGCGGACTGCTGGGTAGCCACCTCTGGGCCTGCCGCTGTCTGATGGTTAAGAGCCACCGGGGTACTTGAGATGGAGGAAGGAACAGGCGCTCTTCCCGCAGGAACTCCCCAAACTGTGCAGAGGGCCCCAACCTCCCAGAGGCCCAGGCTTCTAAGGCTTTAAGTCGCTCAGGGGAACTCCCTGCCAGCACGCTCAGGGTGACTTGCTGTCCTCCAGCACGCAGCAGCACGCTGGCCCAGGGACCGTGTCTATATAAGAGAGAGGTGCGTCCTGCTTCTCAGCTGCCGGGGAGGCAGACGGCTGACATGCACAGGCAGCTTTGAAGATTCCTAACCCAGACGTGACCCCAAGGCTGCAGAGAAGCCCTGGCTGGGACGGGTCTTAGCACAGCTAAGGACCAGGGAGTACTCGGGCCACACCACCTGGCCCCAACCGTGGCCAACCAGAAAGACAGGGGCGGCGGGGGTGGGTAAGCAGCTGCAGCCAGGACTGAGCCTGAGGTTTTATTTCACCCTATTTAAAAAAAAAAAAATGGAGTGTGGGGCTCAAAGTCAGAGATGAAGTTGCTGCAGGATATAAAAGTGATTTTTTTTGCCCACTTCAATTTGGGATAAATTACACTTATTCCATAAAGACAAAGGGGAACAAAGTGTGGGGGCAGACAGCGCACACGTCACACCACGGACCCCATGGGAGGGTCTCGGGTTTGCATCGGGCGGTCTCCCTGTACATGCCAGGCACACGTGTATGTGTGTTCCCATGACGTGGACTGGGAGTGGACCGTGTGTGAAGATCCGTGGGGATGCCTGTCTCTCAATCTCCTCCTCTCATATAAAATTAACTAATTAATTCATTAAAGCTTTAAAAACTAAACCCAAAGGGGAGGCTGTTCTCACGGAAACGGGCACCTGCCTGAAGGAGGCAGCCTGCTGGCCCCCTGGCTGCTCTCTCCGGCGACTTCCTCTCAGTCAGGGGCTCCTCAACACCCGTTTGTGAACAGGGTCTGTGCACTCAGGCTCAGTGCTGGGGGCTGCTGGGTGGCAGGGAGGGGTGTGGAGACAGACATGAGAGACCCAGCCCGCGGGCCGGTTCTCACGGAAACGGGCACCTGCCTGAAGGAGGCAGCCTGCTGGCCCCCTGGCTGCTCTCTCCGGCGACTTCCTCTCAGTCAGGGGCTCCTCAACACCCGTTTGTGAACAGGGTCTGTGCACTCAGGCTCAGTGCTGGGGGCTGCTGGGTGGCAGGGAGGGGTGTGGAGACAGACATGAGAGACCCAGCCCGCGGGCCGCCAGCACCAAACACCTCCGGCAGCTGAATGCATCAGGAATCCTCAGGAAGAGCCGGAGCTCCCCCAGCACCCCTGCCCCATCCCAGGCTTCCTCGGCCTGCCTCTCCTGCTTAGGATGGGATGTGGGTTGTTATGGTAACGAAGGAAGCTGGACAGAATGGGTAACACTGCTTCTTCCACACTGCAATATGAGTGTTTCTGAAGTGAATGCGGAGGACGAGGGCGATCTCCAGAGTGGTGCTGGAGGAGTGACTCGGCTCTCATGTCTGACCTTGGATCTTGGGGACACACCCGACTAAGTGGGGCAGGATTTAAGAGAGGAAGGGAAGGGAAGGGCCTTGTAAAGAGAACTTAACAAGGTTAGGGTAGGGTTTCCATAACTGCTTTCCAGTTCCTTATCACTGTGACAAAAGACTGTTCATCTCTGGATGCTCTGGCCTCGACTCCACAGTGGAACTTTTCTTGGCCAGTTCCCTTGGTCTTCCCACTCCCTAAAGTCCTCTTGTATGAATTCCAAGACAGGAAGAACCCCTCTGAGAAAGCCCGTGTATCTTACGGGCACACGCATGGTTCAAACGGCAGATGATGATTCTCACGTGCAACTGACCAGAGTTGAGCTGCCTGATGATGAACTCGATCTGGCGGACCATCTCGGCGCTGCCTTCTTTGATGAAGCAACGCAGGATGTCTTCCACTCCCTGGGACAATGGGAGAGAGTGACAGTGGACATTTCAGCCTTCTAGGAACATTGCTTTGTTTTGGCTAGAGGGTGCATGTGCTCACCACAGACAAGAGAGAGGAAGCACCCCGCAATGAGGTGTGGTCACGCCACAATCCCTTCTCCATTTCTCCATCCTGTCAGAACTTTATGCATGCACACACAAGCACCTGGCATGTTTATCACACCACCACGGTTGGGATTCGAACCACAGTCGGCCATGTGGGATCCAAGTGTCTTAACCACTAGGTATGGGACCAGAAACTACTTTTCAATGGGATAATCTGACCTAATCCAATAAGTCTTTTATTTTTTAGGGGAGAAGAGGCTATGGACAATAAAAATACTTAGTACTAAACATTCTTTCTGTTCTTTTTATAATCCACAGTGAAAATTACTGTCTTGTTGGTTGACTAACTGACTTAATTATAACACATTTAGTAAAATTAAAAATTTGTAAAATTATACCAGATAATATGCTTTTAGTCTGGCAATAGGTTTTTTTTAAGGAAATGGCTTTCCTTTTTTTTACTGTTTCCTTGTTCAAACTGCCTTCTGGATTTCAAGACCAAGTATGGTCTTTGAAAAGTGAAGCCAGGGCTGGCAGGTGGCATGGTAGTTAAGGTGCTGAACTCCCACATGGTCAATTGTGTTTTAAGTCCCAGATCTGGTGGTTTGCTTTCTCACTTTCTCTTTCTCTCTGGTCAAACTGAAAAATAATAATAAATAAAATAAATTAATTCTTTTTTAAAAAAGAAAAGCCATATTTAGAAGAGTACATGAATAGACAAGATCTTTCTTTAAACAGCTATTATTCTTTTTTAAAAAATTATTTATTTAGTTTTATGTATTCATTCATTTATTTTTAGTATGACCAGAGAGACATAGAGAGAGAAAGAGGGAAAGTGAGAAAGCGAGCTGCCAGGCCTGAGACTTGAACCATGGTCAGCCATGTGGGACTGTCCAGTGCCTCAACCACCACGCCACCTGCTGGTCCCGCTATTATTATTCTTCTAACAAAAGAAGTATAGGTCACTATACTAAGTATTCTTTTATGAGGGTCTTCAACAAGTTCTAGAAAATGAGTATTATGAAAAAAAAAAACTATGCATAAATTTCAAATTAATTTGTGCAAAATATTTTTGTAATGTTTTTGTGTAGGGTGCATGCACTCACTGGAGAGAGACAGAGAGACAGTGAGGGGGGAAAGTAAGAAATCACCGCCCAGGGGGATGGCCACACCACAATCCCTTCTCCATTCTTCTCCTGGGATATCAAGTACGTATACACATACATGTACCTGCATGATTTTCAAGCCACCACGTCCAGGACTTGAACTATGTTTGGCCATGCAAGAGTCCAGCACCTTGACCACCACACCACTTGCTGGCCCCTAAACTGAAGACTTTAATTCCATTTATATATGAACTTTGCACAGTTTCTTCACATTACAACATACTGACACAGATTTTCAGGATGACTAATGGAATTCCAGGGAAACACGGAGCTAAGACACCGGCTTAGGCAGAGTCTAATTCCCTTCCTCCGCCCTTATGGGATTTGAATGAGGATACTGGCTGGAGCTGAAGAGGCCTTTTTGCCACCATGAGGGAGAAGTCTGGGTAATAATGCACCTAAAACAGAGGAAGCAGAGTGCAGAGGTGCTGGGAAAAAAAATGGTCCTGGTCAGCCAGCAGGTGGTATGGTGGCTGAAGTACTGGATCCCATGTGGCCAACTCCACAGTTCAAATCCTGGACCTGGCAGCTTAAAAACACGCCAGGCACATGTGTTTCCATGCCTGAAATCCTGAGATGAATGGAGAAGGGATTGCAGTGTGGCCATCTGGCCCTCCCACTGGTTGATTTCTCACTTTCCCTCTCTCTCTCACTGGTCAATGCGTATGTCCTATGGCAAAAATCTGAAAGGGAGGGAGAGAGGGATGGAGGTGGGAAGAGAGAGAGAAGAAAGAAAGAAAGAAAGAAAGAAAGAAAGAAAGAAAGAAAGAAAGAGGAAGGAAAGGAGGAAGGAAAGGAGGAAGGAAGAAAAAAAGAGAGAACGGGCCTGGTAACAGGTTCATCCTGAAATTTATTATGAACTTCTGTTACATAGGCTCACTTTTATGCAGGCCGGTTTTGAACCCATAGCCCCAACTGACTCAAAATGCCAAGTGCAGGTTTGAACATACTGAGTTCTCATCATCCAAAGCTGAGCACCACCCTCTGGAAATGTTAAGTCAGGACTGTAATTTGGATTGTATCCTAGGTCCCCCAGGAATTAACCATGTGACCTTACTCAAAGTACTTAACTTTTCCCAGCCTGTTCCAGAAACTACAAAATGAGGATAAGAATCAAGGTGGCACGAGATTCCAGCAGACAGCATATGTATGTGTGATGGGGAGCTGGTGTGTACGTTTGCCAGGGTGTACTGAGCTGTGCATGTGGGGTCCGTGCATTCACTGTTTGCAAAGAATACTTAAAAACACAGCCTCTAGTCCAATGGCTGACATGTAGCTGACGCTCTATGAACAGTCGAGCAGTCGAGCTTGTGACTACTGTGTCTGGGAGGGATTTGCAGCTCAGGAGAGATCTGAAGCTAAGGGAATAAAGGAGGTCCCCTGGTGACCGCAGAGGGGGGAAACCAGAGGGCTATGACAGGGCCTTAGGGAACAATAACATTTAGCTGGGAGGCAGTGACAGGGGAGCCCACAGAAGAGATTCCGAAGGTTTAGAAGGGAGGAACGGTGTCCGTGCCACCACCAACTCGGGAAGAGCATCCTTGCTGGGGCAGGGCGGTGGTGCAGCGGTAAAATAAAACCTCTGTGAGGCTGACCGAGCTGGGAGATTCTAGGCTCACATCTAGGGACCTTCCTGAACGTGCAGGTGTGTGCGGGAAGGGCTGGCTGAAGCTGGGGGTGGGTCACAGTGAGTGGACCCTGTTGGCAGTGCCGTCTGTCTCTTGTGGATGAAAGAAAGAAATACATTTTAAAAGGAAAAAAAAAAAAAGTCCTGAGTCCAGGGGCATGTCTGTAAGAGGGCAGAGCTGGCAGTGTCCAGGCTCCTGGGAAGACACCTGGGCTTGTCTGAACAAGACAGAAGAGAGAGAGAAGAAAGAAAGAAAGAAAGAAAGAAAGAAAGAAAGAAAGAAAGAAAGAAAGAGGAAGGAAAGGAGGAAGGAAAGGAGGAAGGAAGAAAAAAAGAGAGAACGGGCCTGGTAACAGGTTCATCCTGAAATTTATTATGAACTTCTGTTACATAGGCTCACTTTTATGCAGGCCGGTTTTGAACCCATAGCCCCAACTGACTCAAAATGCCAAGTGCAGGTTTGAACATACTGAGTTCTCATCATCCAAAGCTGAGCACCACCCTCTGGAAATGTTAAGTCAGGACTGTAATTTGGATTGTATCCTAGGTCCCCCAGGAATTAACCATGTGACCTTACTCAAAGTACTTAACTTTTCCCAGCCTGTTCCAGAAACTACAAAATGAGGATAAGAATCAAGGTGGCACGAGATTCCAGCAGACAGCATATGTATGTGTGATGGGGAGCTGGTGTGTACGTTTGCCAGGGTGTACTGAGCTGTGCATGTGGGGTCCGTGCATTCACTGTTTGCAAAGAATACTTAAAAACACAGCCTCTAGTCCAATGGCTGACATGTAGCTGACGCTCTATGAACAGTCGAGCAGTCGAGCTTGTGACTACTGTGTCTGGGAGGGATTTGCAGCTCAGGAGAGATCTGAAGCTAAGGGAATAAAGGAGGTCCCCTGGTGACCGCAGAGGGGGGAAACCAGAGGGCTATGACAGGGCCTTAGGGAACAATAACATTTAGCTGGGAGGCAGTGACAGGGGAGCCCACAGAAGAGATTCCGAAGGTTTAGAAGGGAGGAACGGTGTCCGTGCCACCACCAACTCGGGAAGAGCATCCTTGCTGGGGCAGGGCGGTGGTGCAGCGGTAAAATAAAACCTCTGTGAGGCTGACCGAGCTGGGAGATTCTAGGCTCACATCTAGGGACCTTCCTGAACGTGCAGGTGTGTGCGGGAAGGGCTGGCTGAAGCTGGGGGTGGGTCACAGTGAGTGGACCCTGTTGGCAGTGCCGTCTGTCTCTTGTGGATGAAAGAAAGAAATACATTTTAAAAGGAAAAAAAAAAAAAGTCCTGAGTCCAGGGGCATGTCTGTAAGAGGGCAGAGCTGGCAGTGTCCAGGCTCCTGGGAAGACACCTGGGCTTGTCTGAACAAGACAGTCACACCCTCTGAACAAGGACGGGACAGCCTTGGTTTTCACTGCCAGGAAGGCTGATTTTATGTCCCTCTGTCTCGTAAACTGACGGCTCCCCTGTTCTTTATCTGCACCCAAGGTAAGGGCCAGGAAAAGGGAGCACCATCAGGCAATGGTGTCAGAACCGACTCTAGTCACCACAGACCAGAATTCTTCAGACCTGCCCCAGGGGCCGGTGCCCAAACCCTGTCAGCAGTGGAAGGAGGTGGGGCGGTCCTTCAGGCTCTCCTTTCTTTTCTGCCCAGATGTTACTAGGGGGTGGGACGAATAATCAACTCCTTCTCTGTAATTGAAATTGAGAAGACTTCCTTTTCTTTTCTTTTTTATAAATAAAAAAAATTTTTATAGAAACATTACTAATTACCACCTTCAACAGCTATTAATATTTTGAGCAAAAGAGCCATAACCTCATTAGCATTTCCTCTGTTACCCGACACTGCTGTAGCCTGCAGTTTTCCCGTACTGTAAAACGCTGACACAGAGCTGTCAGGACAGAACTACTCTGCACCAACAAACAGGAAACGAATAAATCTGAAAAGATGGCTGTTGCAGTGGTTTCTCACACGGATCACCAGACTGCCTTCCAGGGCTGCACAGTGTGAGTCCAGTGGGCCGAGGATCTTGGCTCTGCCTCTGACCCTTGCCCTAGCACGAGCAGGCGCCAGGGCGCTGAGGCTGAGGTCGTGTCTTTGCACTGTCATCTC